GGCTGACAATTTGCCCTCCAGCCCACCACTTTGGTTTAAAACTACAGGCTAATATCTCCATCTGCCAGAGGGAATCTTCATTCAAATGCCTGCCATTCTTTGATGCAAAATGTTCGATGGTAAACTAGACAATACCCCCAACACCTTACTCCACCCCAACCCCCGACACACATCTTCCTATTCACAGCTCCCATGACTTCATTTGTGGCACCCAAACTTTCTACGTACCTTTACACCTCGCAATTAATCTGGTTATTTTTGTGTTCATCTCACAGACCAGTCAGGCACATTGTCTCGTCAAGCCTTCCTTCAGAACATCTCTTGCATCCACCTCCTTGCCACCACCCTGGACAAGGCTTCATCATCTCATATGTGAACAGACGTCTTATAACTGGTTTTCCAGTTCCTAACTAGTTTGCCAATTCTCACTAATCTCACTTCTATGAGCACTACAGTGATAAGGACTATAATGGTACAAAGGTCTTATCCATATTTGTACCCCCAACACTTAGTGTGATGCCTACTGCACAGCTGCACAGTAGATGCCCAATAAATGTTTACTTGATGGGTGGATCAGTTTCTTATACTACCCATAGATTATTGCTTACACAACATATTTGCCATGTTACTCCCCGGCACACACACATAAAATCTCCTCTTACCTTCTGAGGTCTAGAACAGGGTTATTTTTAATGTATTCATTAATTTTTTCCAAGAAATTATTTATTCAAGAGAATTCTCACTCAAAAATATGGTAGACAAAATACAGAAACTCAAAGCTTCTCTGATTAAATCTAGGATAAAATGTTTACATCCATACCTACAGCCTTTCGCACCTTGCCTTCTTTCCTCCCATCCCCAAGCAAACCTAGAGCTAGAAACTAAGATACCCTAAGACAGAAATTCCCAAACCTTAGTTTGCTTAATTTCCACCTGGAGGGTTAATTAAAATGCACATTATCAGGCCCTACTTTAGATTAGGATTTACTAGTCTGGGCTTTGATCTTTGAAAGGATGCATTTTAACAAGCATCCAGGTCATCCGATGAAGGTTGTCAGAAGAATAGACTTTGAGAAACCTTATCCTAGCAGGTGATAGATTGGAATTTAAAAACTCCATCTCACAGAATGACATTTGAACCCCTTGTGGCAGAAATTAAGGTCTGTCAGAGTCTGCTATTTATCCCACCCATCAAGATTTAATAACACGAATACATTAATTAGTTTGATTCAATCATCCCATGATGTATACATACACAATTGTCCCTTGGTATCCACAGGGAATTGGTTCTAGGACCACCCCTCCACAAAGTCCATGGGAGTTCAGGTCCCTTATATAAAATGGTATGGTATTTGCATATAACCCATGCACATTTTCCTGTGTACTTCAAATCATCTGTACTTACAATATCTAATACAATGTATTATTTTTATTGTTATATTGTTACAATAAAAATTATGTATTATTTTATATTGTTGTATTATTAATTTTTTTCCAAATATTTTCAATTCTCTTTTTGTTGAATCCATAGATGCAAACTCCATGGATATGGAGGGTCAACAATACCATAAAGTCATGTTGTACTCCAAAAATATATACAATTATTATTTATTAATTAAAAACAAAATATATTTTTTAAAAAGATTTAATAGCAAGTGCACCCAAGAACATTTGCTTCAGTTTATTGCCCTATTGCCCTCAATCATATTAATATCCGGCTTGATTCATGTCTTAAGTTCTTTCTTTCTCAGTTTGTTTGTTTCTTTCTTTCTTTCTTTTTCAGAGTCTTGTTCTGTCTCCCAGGCTGGAGTGCAGTGGCGTTATCTTGGCTCACTGCAACCTCCACCTCCGGGGTTCAAGCCATTCTCCTGTCTCAGCCTTCCGAGTAGCTGAGACTACAGGCCCGTGCCATGAGGCCCAGCTAATTTTTTTCTATTTTTAGTAGAGACGGGGTTTCACCATATTGGTCAGGCTGGTCTCAAACTCCTGTCCTCAGGTGATCTGCCCACCTCAGCCTTCCAAATTGCTGGTATTACAGGTGTGAGCCACTGCGCCCAGCCCTTACATTCTTTCTTATACAGCTTCCCCCTAACTAGAATGCTCTTCTCAATCCACTTCCTCTTCCTTTGTACATCTCCAAATTGAACCGTTATTCACCATCTGGAACAAGGCCTTCCTCACTGAAGCTTTCCCCCATCCATACAACCATCCATTCATTCAATGTAAATTTATTGAATGAGCAGCAGTTCTAGGTACTGTGGATATATCACTGAACAAAAGAAACACAAATCCTAGTCCTCAAAGAGTATATATTCTAGTGCATAAAGACTAACAAACAAACTGTAATGTAAGATAAAATATGTAGTAAGTTAGATGGCAGTAAGTTCTGTGGAGAAAATAAAGAAGGGAAGAGAGAGAGAATGGCAGGAGTAAAATGCAGAAGCAATTTTAAGTGGAGTGGTTGAGGATAGTGACAACTGAATAAAGATAGAAGGAGGTGAGGAAGTAGACCACATGGATATTTGGAGTAAAAACTTTTTAAGTAGAGGGAAGATCAGGTGAAAAAAACGCTGAGGCAAGAGTACACCTTGGGCATTAGAGGGACAGCAAGAATGCCAGTTTGTCTGGGGAGGAACAGACAAATTTCTAGTGAGCTAGGAAGAAGTGGCAAAGAGTTGATGTCAGAGGTGACAGACTGAGCAGCATCTGAAGGGCACTGAAAGGACTCAGTTTCAGTCCTTCAGGATACCTTTACATTGAGCAGAGAAGCATGCCCTGACCCACATTTTAACCACAGTGTTACACATCCTGTGTCAACAACAGTCTGAAGCAGTGCAAGAGCAGCAGTTAGGAGGCTACTGTAATAGTCCAAACAAGAGGCTATGGTGACTTCATGACATGGATTGCGGCAGAGGTTGTGAGAAATGAACCAATTCTGGATATATTTTGAAGGGAGAGATGACATAACTTGCTGACAGATTGAATATGGAATGTGAAAGATACTGTTGTCTCCAAGGTTTTTGCCCTGAACACCTGAGAGAATGGAAGTCACCATTAATACGAGGAAGACTATGTAAGAAGAAGGTAGGCAGAGGAAGACAAGGGATCAACAGCTCAGTTTGAGGCATGTTAAGTTTGAGATGTACATTGGACATCCATGTGGAGCTATTGAGTATTATGAGTTAGGATTCAGGGTAAATGTCTGTGCTGGAAACATAAATTTGGGTATTATCAGCATATAGATGGTGTTTAAAGACATGAGATCATCAAGGAAATCAATGTAGAAAAAGGAGAAAAGAGCCCTGGAGCTCTTAAATGTTAAACAGTTGGTGTGGAGGAGTGGGGAGGACCCAGAAAAAGAGACTGAGAATGAACACACACTGATGCAGGCAGAGATCAAGAAAGAGAAGTTAGCAATGGAATCAAATGCTTCGATAAGTCAAGTAAGATTAAAAAAAAAAAAGACCATTGAATTTAAAAATGTGGAAGTCTTTGCTGACCATGACAAGAGTAGTTTCAGTGAATAAATAAAGGGAGAGCTAGAATGGAGTGGATTCAAGAGAAAAATGTAAGGAGAGAGGTGTACAGACAGTGAATATGGATCACTCTTTCAGGATGTTACTTTTATCCTGCTTAATTTTCTTCTCCCTCAGTCTCTGTAACATCTAGGACCGATCTGCTTTCCTGAGCATTTTTATCATCACCCTCAGTGATAATTTTTAATTGTGTTTATGTCTTCTTTCCAGCTAATTCGGAAGCTCTTATTGGAAAGAATCAGCATCTCCTTTCACATCTGCAACACTCCCCTCAGTGCTTTGCACAATTCTGTGCCCATAATGAGTGTATTAGTCTGTTCTCACATTGCTATAAAGAACTATCTGAGACTGGGTAATTTATAAAGAAAAGGGTTTTAACTTACTCACAGTTCCATAGGCTGTACAAGAAGCATGGCTGGGGAGGCCTCAGGAAACTTACAATCATGGTGGAAGGCGAAGGGGAAGTAGGCATGTCTTACATGGCTGGAGGAGGAGGAAGAGAGAGAAGAGGGAGGTGCTACACACTTTTAAACAACCAGGTCTTGTGATAACTTACTCACTATCATGAAAATAGCAAGGTCATGATCCAATCGCCTCCCACCAGGCCCCTCCTCCAGTATTGGAGATTACAGTTTGAACATGAGATGTGGGCAGGGACACAAATCCAAACCATATCATTGAGTATCCAAAAATACATGCGAGTCAAACCAAATAAATATTTCTCCAATGACTTTCTCTGTCCCTTTTCCTAGCTTTTAACTACTTCAAGCAACTTGTAGATTAAATTTCTGTTCTTCAATTTGACTTTTAAGTCCCTTCATAAAATGGCCCTCCCCAAAATTTGTCTTTTAGTATTTTCTTATATAGCCCTCTGCTTTAGTCAGGATATTTTGTTGACTTTACTGAAAAGAGGCTGCTTATTTTCACATATTATTTTAATTATGATACTATCTTTTGGAAATTCTTCATTCAATCCAAGGGCCTTGTCCTCTTAGAAACTAATCAAGGAAGAGCTGTGGTCCCATATTTGGAATGCTTTTTGCTTTAATATGTAGCTACCCCAGATTTTAGGTATCATATCTATGTCAACTTCATGAGGTATTTCCTGTGCTGCCTATTGCACTCCATAATTCTACTTTTATATTTGTTCCACTTAAAAATAAATCCTAGACCAAGCTTAGCATTTTTGGTTTTCTGTTTCTCCTATTCATTAACTAGCACTTTCAGGATCAATAAAAAATCAAATGAGAAATAAAGTATTACTACATGTAAAGGCTTTTAATTAAGGATTAATACATGATAGAATGAATAAATAAATGATGGATGGATGGATGGATGGAAATGGCTTTTACATTGTACAGTTATCTGATGCAGCATACATTATCCTGTTTAATCTACACAAGAGCTGTCAGATGTTGGTAGCATACATTTAACAGATGATAAAATAGTTTTAAAAAGGTTAACCTTCCCAGAGTTTTTCCAGGACACTGGAACCTAAACTTCCTAATTCAGTTCTAGATTCAGAATCCAATTCCAAAACTACTAAAATCCAGTTATTTTCTTTTTCCACCATGGTCGCTTGCTGGAAAGCAATAAATAAGTAAAACCACTAGAATCCTAAATTGAAATTGTTTTCAAAGCATGTTCACTTAGAATTGATGAGATTTTGTTGAATCTGTTTTCCAGTGAAATTGTAATTCTAAAATTATATTCTTTTCCTCCTTAATAACAAACTTATAGTCTCACAACCGGTTTGATTACTTAACAAAATATCAGCACAGCAAAGTACATAGCTCTTTAACAACTTTCTTTCCTTTTGATTCTGTACCTCTACAAAGCTTTGTCAAACTACGACTGACTCAAACGGTAATGGTACACAAGCTAGAAATGTACTCTGGAAATACATTTTCTCTTTGGAGCGAATGTCTTTCTGCCACATGTTCATTCTCTTAGATTTCTGATCTTAAGAGCACAAAACAAAGAATGGTTTATTAATCAAATGTTTTCTTGAGCCTATTTGAACTCCACATCTTAGATATATTTTAAAAGATGTTCTACTTACTTCCTTAGTGTGGAAACTCTTGTGAATTTTGAAAGCTTTCTTAACCATCTTAGATCATTGAGATACCGTTCGAGATCTGAGTAAATAATTTACTAGCAGGTACCCCCAACATGATTGAATCCTTCAAGTTAACAATAAAAATCTGACAATCTCATTTGCTTTATTTTTGGTTATGGGCTCTAAGGAAAAAGAAAACTAAGAAAGAAGAGTTATATAACAACATATGATGCTATAAAGGAAATATATTCTCTAGTTAAGCCAGCCACTCCGCATCCCAAGTGCCCTCAGTGTATAGCGTATACCCTAAAGGCGTCTGTCCTAAAACTTGAAGTTGTGTTGAGATTTTCAGAGAAATTATGTACAAAACCAAAGTGCTATTTTTTATAATTATCTTTGATAAAGGAATATAAAGTTGGGATAATTTAACTTAAATGTAACCACATATTAGTAAATAAATTTCTCATTTTATATAACACTAAATGCTTTTTGGTTGTTTTCATGGTGAATCGTGAATCTATAATGTAGAGGTTTTGGATTTTAAAAGCTTCTATAATTCAAAATAAAATGAATTATATTAGACTCATGTTAATTTTGTGGGAATGATCTTCCTATTGAGTAAGATATTAAGATACTTTAGACTTTGTATCTTGAGACTATGTATTTCTATATTTTAAGTCCCAGGTTCACTACTTCTATCTTGCCTCTTAAGTTTCAGAATTAATGAATGAGATGGAAACTCTCCATATATTGCAGAGGAATGTAACAAATAAGCGGATTGAAAAACTAGGTATATGCTTTCTTTTATCATTTCTTAAAAAAAGAATAAAAATGTAATTAATTAACCTTGCATACTATCCTCTCTTTTGCCAAACCTTAATTAGGTTCTGGGAAGTGGATACCCTTCAATGAAAATGAACAAAAATAGCCCTCGATGAAACGATCACAAAATGAGTTTTCTCATTGAGGAGTAAAGATGAGACATGAAAAATATGAGCTTCTGCAGCAGGCATTTTTCATTCTTTTTTACAATGTGAGCAAATGCAGGATGAAGAAACAGCCTTCACCTTTCATATGCTCTACTATGCTCCAAGATTTACAGTAACCCTTTAAGATAAAAAATTTAAAAATAAAAATAACAAACCTGCACAAAATAGGAAATTGTCAGTCACTAGGGAGGTGACTATCAAGTATATTTTCCTGTGGATGCTTTACAACGAGTTCATGACTGTTAACCAGACTAAGACCATGACTTTGAGGAGCAACAAAATTTGAAAATGGGAGCTTCCAAACAAAAGGATGTTGTTTCCCCAGTGTAATTTGTTTGGAAGTTATTGCCTAGTAAGCACTGCATAAATTCTGTTTCACTCATGCATGACAAAACTGCACTTGGATTTTTACTAAGCAAAGCCATAGTCAGAAGAGAAAGAAATCTGATCATATGCATCGTTTCTAATGTAAAAATTCACACTCTTCCTGATTCCGACAATGATGTGATTTGTAAAGGGTTCTAATTGTGGTCAATTATTACAGTCCTTCAGCGCCACCTAGTGTTTTCCATATAATGGTATGCCCCAGTTCACCTATGAAACCAAACCAACAATAGTCATACATTCCAAATAAAAGGAAAAAAGGAAACCTCAAAGTTTAATTTTGATATCTCATAGTCAAAGTGCTTTCCATTGTTTTATTTTATTACTCTTAAATTGCTTAAAAGCTTTTGTCGCTTTTGTTGAACTAAGTCTTTTGCATGTTTGGGTTCTTACCATTGATAAATGCCTAATTGCCATTGTTCCCTGGAAAATCAGAGTAACTATGAGGTTAACCCTGTTTTTATAAAAGGTAAATTATTTCATAGTCGATTCATTTTAGAGTGAAATGCCTACACATATAAGAAGCAGCAAAGCAACATGAAAATAAAGGTGACCATTGAATATCTAATATTTGTGAGCTGACAAAATTGGTTGAGCACACTCTCAAGTTACTCTTGTTGGTAATAGTGGTCTCAAAAGAATGTTAAGGTGGGTGTCTGCCACTTCCCCATAACCTCATTACCAAATTATAATAAAAGCATGTCTCAGACCGGACGATGAAACATATATATGGACATTTATTAAATAAACATAAAATAGCAAGCAAGTAAAAAAACTGTTCATACAATCTATCTTGAACTAAATACTCAGCTGTATTCTTTTTAGTCCTGTTATAAATAAAGTTTCGGTGCCGCAAAAGAAATAGCACTCAAATATAAAATTTTCTTTTTTTCTTCTCAGAAGGGCAATTTACTTCTCTAGAAGGGTGCGCCCTCACCGAGGGAGCAATGATGAGCACACGCCTGGACGAGGGAGCGGAAAGAATTCTTATTCCTGATGCACGTCGCCCCTGCTACTGTGTCATTCCCCTATTGGCTAGGGTTAGGCCGCGCAGGCTAAACTAATTCCGATTGGCTGATTTAAAGAGAGTGACGGGGTGATGATTTGGCTGGAAAAATGGTTATGGCAGAGCAGAACATCGGAATGAGTCAGGGTGGAGCAGGTGATCAAAAAAGGTTGCTTTATGAGGAAGTTAAGTTTAAAAGTAGAAGGCATAAGAATTGGACATACTGACATATTGATTCTTTGAAGAGAAATTTAGAACTCATATCTAACAGTGCTCAAATAACTACCTTACATGAGAGATTCACTAGAGGCAGGTGTAACAAATCCTTGAAACAAAATTTTAGGCAGGTGTAACAAATCCTTGAAACAAAATTTTGTTATATTGTAATCAGCATCAGGAAACTAGAAATTATCCTAAACGAATGGCTGGACACAGGAAAACTTACGGGTAAAGATTTAGGCACTATCCCTATGGATGAAAGCTACAGGCCTCTAATTTTATTTTATAATTACTGAAGTTAGTTTTGTCACAGAGAGGAAATGTATTGTTAAAAAAATGATCCACTTCTGCCGGGTACGGTGGCTCACGCCTGTAATCCCAGCACTTTGGGAGGCCGAGGCGGGCAGATCACAAGGTCAGGAGTTCGAGACCCGCCGGGCCAACGTGGTGAAACCCCGTCTCTACTAAAAATACAAAAATTAGCCAGGCGTGGTGGCACATGCCTGTAATTCCAGCTACTTGGAAGGCTGAGGCAGGAAACTCGCTTGAACCAGGGAGGTGGAGGTTGCAGT